ACAAACTGTCACTGTCACACTTTGTTACACCCCTCCCTCCCCCCTCCCTGCCCCCCCCTCCCCTCAGGAGCGTTTCGGACTTGAATGGACAGCCCCTTTATCTTTTTCTTTTCTTTTTTTTTCTTTTTGCTTTATTAAATTTCTTAGTAGGTTTTTTTTTTGGGGTCTTATTTTCTTTAACTTTTAGCCATGTTCGTAGATAAATGTTTTCAAGATAAAAAGAGATACATATATTTTCATTAGTCATTAGAATTTTAGAAAAGTAATAATATTAATGTAATTATTAAGATTAAATCCTTCATTAATTTAGATTTATCTGTATTATTTAAGTTAAAAGTAAAAGATTTAATTACACGGTACATTATGGAATAATTAGGTATTCTAAATGAAAATTTCATTCAAAATGAATTAAATTCAACTATTCCTCAAAAGACTTAAGAGAACTTGGCTTAATCAAAACAAAACCACACCTTTTCGCTGGCACTGGGAGCAATAGGCCTGCACCTGAACACAGACTGTTTTTTTCTGATAACTCATTCGTAACTAAAATCACCTCTCAATAATCTTTCTCATACTTGACTTAATTCACAAGATACTTGGAATGAACATCTTGGAGGATGCAATTGCATAAAGTATGATGATAAAGCATGAAAAAAGACTTATTATTTTGAAGGGCTAGTCCTTTTTTCCACCGTACCTGGCTATTGGGTGTAAAACACAGGCACATGATTAAACATTTAATAATAAAAAAAAAACGTAAGTGAAAGTGGCTTGTAAATATTTTTGTTTAGTTTGTCATTTGAGTTTGTGTACCAGTAATCCATAAAATAAATTAGGGGCCAGTATGGAGTAGGCAACCAATAAAAGTAAAAGATTTCATTTTAAATTGTTTAAAGTGGTGCAAAATATTTAAAAACTTCTCATAACACTACTGTTGCTAATGAACATTTTAATATAAATATAATATAAAAGATTTTAATGAAAATGAAAAGAAAAAAAATCCATTCGCTACTGAGATTCCTCAAAATAAAAAAACCGCCAAGCGGGCACTCTACCGTAAGACCACACTAGATCTTCTTACGGCAATTCTTCAAACCAGACCAATGGAACATATTTTTTCCGTGGTGTAACTGTCACGTGATCAACGGAAAATGGACCCCACGTCATCAGTCGGATCCGAATAGCGATTTTGGCTAAGGGGACCCGGGTCCGAATAGCCACTTCGATCTCCAAAATCACTCCCACCCCCACACCCCCTCCCACCCCCAATATCCCGCAGTGCTTAACTTATCATTGGATGATAATAATATTTTTACGTTTAGTATCACATTTTCGCTCTTACAATTATTAAAAACTTCCTGACATTTCGCACTATAACTTTCCATTTATGCTCCTGTGGACATCCGCAGCCCTGATCATTGTTGAAAATTATTTTTTTCTTTAACCATTTCATAAACAAATCAAAATATAAATAATAAAAATTTGAAAATATATTAAAATAATATTTTACTGATCCTTACAATCAGAAGAAAATGAAGGATAAATAGTAAGACATAATAATAAAGTTTATTTGAAAAAAACACGCTTCATCCCCAAAGACTCGAAGCGCGGCACAAAGTCAGCCATATTAAAGGAGAACTGAAACAAACTATATTTTACCACAGTTATACACAAAACGCAACACTACAAAAACTGCAAACCAGCATACCCAGTCAGAGTCTTTCATCCATGAACAACACAAGCCAATATACATCTAGGAGACAATAGCCAGCTGGAAAAGATGGTAGACAACAACACCCCAGTAGGTATTTCAGACATAGATGTATTTTCAAATCAGTTTTGAAGGATTCCATTGTCTGCCTGTCTCTGAGATTGGCAGGAAGAGTGTTCCAAATTGTTGGGCCAGCAAATGCGAAAGTGTGCCTTCCGTAAGTCTCAAGGCGAACACGTATGTTTGATCCTTAATTTGCTACAAGAATGCTTAACTATACAGAAGTCTAAATTTAAAATAATTTATTAAAGCAAGGAAAACACACACAAATAGTGGGGGAGTGGGGGGAGAGAGAAAACTCAGAAACCAACTCAGCTCGCAGCAATTAAAATTAATTCAAATTTTAATCTCTTCAAGAGAAATGTAACAACAAGGGATTATTTTAGTGTTCCGACATAAGGGACGCTACACCTTAGAAATAAAATTAAAGTTTAGTATGACGAATTAGCTCCCCTCAAATCTGCAAAATCTGTAGAGTAACAGAGTGGGGATTATGGAGATATGTGTAGCGTAACGGAGTAGTGTAATGCTTGCGAAATATGTAGCGTAACGGAGGAGTGGGGTGATGGTGAAATATGCAGAGTTACGTTGACCGTGCACTGTAACATCTTAATGTTACTTAGACACTTTGCACAATGAGACATGTTGTTATTGAACTAACTGCAGTGGTCAAATTACATAGACAACCAGCACAATGAGACAAGATGTTATTGAACTAACTGCAGTGGTCAAGTTACATGGACACCCTGCACAATGAGGCATGTGGTTTTTCATCATATTGTTGTTGTCAAGTACTTACGCGGCATCGAGCCGGTCAATAGCGCATGCTGTTAATAAAGCAACTTGTAAAAAAAGAACAATATGTGAAAAATTATCTTTCTTGTTAAATACTGTTAAGGATATCAACGTGTTTTTTAATGTTCCCGTACCAAGCTGCTAAGCTGGCCAAGTTTGGAAGTGAGTGTCGAAATGAAATGATTGGCTGAATGTGGTGGTGGAGGTTTATGATTAATCGGTGTTTTTTTAATGTTCCAGTACTAAGCTGACCAAGTTTGGAAGTGAGTGTCAAAATGAAATGATTGGCTGAATGTGGTGGTGGAGGTTTATGATTACAATCGGTGTTTTTTTAATGTTCCAGTACTAAGCTGACCAAGTTTGGAAGTGAGTGTCGAAATGAAATGATGGGCTGAATGTGGTGATGGGGGTTTATGATTGAAACAGATGTTTGTGTTGGGTGGAAAGTGGGCAGGGGGGATCGTGATTCGGAGTGTAAATGGTGTCTCCCCATTGTTCATTAATCTCATTTTAATCATTAAAGGGAATTAACAATTCAAAGCTTGTTCGATTACCCCCCTTAATGTATATATATATATATTTTTTTTAAATATTATAAAAATTAAATAAACGTTCCATTGGTAACGTTCGTCCTGGAACCTCTAGTGCAGATAACAAACACAATTTTACGGAAAAAAAATTCATTTTTTACAATTATCAAAATAATTTGGGTTAATTTATAAAGTTAATTTAATTTGTTTTAAAATGCAGGAATTAACAAAATGAAGAAAATGCCGAGAATGAACTTGTGATAGACACACAC